AGGTGATGTTCTCCRAAGGTAGCCAAGCTAAGTTCCATGTCATGGGCGCAGGTGGCCAATTTGTCAAATGTTTGGGGTTTTATTCCCTTGAAGTTGTAATGCAAACCCTAATGCATGCCTTGAATACAAGTATCAATAGCTAAAGCTTTTGAGAGCTTGTCTCAACAGTTAAGGTAGAGATTTCTCTTCCTGCCGATGTAGTCAACAACTGGTTCATCCTTCTTTTGTTTTGTGGTCGTGAGTTCATACATGTTTACAGTATGCCAAGTACTATAAAAGTGATCCAAGAACTCTCTTTCTAATTGGTCCCAACCATCGATTGACCTGGAAGGGAGGTTAGTGTACTAGTTAAAAGCATTTTCTCGTAGAGATCGTACACATTGCTTTACCATCAAATCACCATAGGTCCCAGCATTGTTGCACGTCTCCACGAAGTGCGCAATATGTTGCCTGGGGTTACCTTTCCTGTAAAATAGTTGAAATTTTGGGAGCTGGTACCCTAACGACATAGGCATATGATCAATGCACTCAGTATATGGCTTAGTATACATTGAGGATGATTGTGAGACATCTCCATACTGAGCACGTATCGTGTCAGCTATCATGTTTTGGAGTTGTACTGAGAGGGAGGCAACCGAAGCATGTTAGGCGTCCTGTATATTAGTACCTTTTAGCAACTCCTCTCGAGGAGGGTTTACTTGTAGAGTGAACCCTGGTRGGTGCGAAGGCCCCTGGATGGATGTTGTTGTTTGCATTTGTTCCATTCAGTTCATGAGAGAAGCAATTTGAAGGCCTTTCTCTTCCACCGTCTTTTTAACTTAGCGATGGTTGCAACCATCTCAGCAAGTTGTTCTTCCACTATAGTAGCTCCCGCCATCATAACGGGCGCTACCAAAGTGTAGGAGTGTATCTGTATGTAATCGGACCCTCTAGTCTTAGGGGAGTTGGGATGAGAGTCGAACCTTGAGTCGTACTAGATTCTGCGTCCGACACGGGTATTTGTCCACTTGGATGCTCAAGTGGARTTGTTGAGATCAACTCTTTTCTTGGAGCTACCCCTTCCTTAGTAGCATCCTTCACCATTGGTATCCCTAAAGGTTCCATTTTGGTGTTTCGGCTTTTTGAAGGGACCCCTAGAGTTGTACAAGGAGCAAGAGATGCAACCAATTGTGAATTCTTGGACCTCGTCATGAGACAAGTGGTTGGCATCTCGTAGTTGTAGGCTAAAAATGCACTTGGTTCGGACGAGCTTGAGCTATATGTGGCATTTTTCTTGTTCTCGATGACACTTGAAATGGTTCTCTTTGGAGCCATGCGTCCAAACTGTTTGTCAAAAACAAGCTTGATGTTTTGACTTGAGAGATGAGAGGAAAGAGAAGTCCCACCGGGCATGCTAGAAATTTGTTGACACAAATTTCATGCTAAATTTGGAGCACAAAAATTAATGAAGACAAATCGAAGAAATTCAATTTAATTTTTTTCTTGCAAAAATTTAAGTGGGATACAAACTCTCTTTTTCTTGGCAAAGAAAACCCTTTAGTTCTCTTGTCTTGGACAAAATCCGAAACCGCAACTGAAACTTGCAATTATGGAAAGCAAGTAACCCCCAACCTTGTGTGAGCAAAAATTTACTCACTCTCAATCAATGATTAGAACGTGAACAGCTGAAAGAAATATCCTCGCTTGTAGAATTGACAAAAGCCTTTTGGATCATGGGAATTTGAAGGTTGAAATTTCCCCGGTTGATGTGGTACAAAATTGTAGCAATTTCAGTGCTTCGGCAGTTGAAGAGTTGGAGTCTTTCTTCTTTCTTCCTTGATCTTAGTGTAGACCGTTTCTTCTCCTTCCTTTTCAAAAGCAATGGAAGCAGTAGGAGACGAAATCAGTAGTCGAAGGGGGGGAAGCCGAATGGGAGAAAGACCAACCGAACAAGAAGACCCCCCATCCCCTTTTATAGTGAAAGAGCTTGCCCAATTCAGATCCGATTGGGAATCAAGCATTTAATTTGGGGGACCCACAAAATTAGCTATATATGACTATTAGCAGGATTCTCTCCACCAATTTTGGGTTTAATGCATTTAAGATTGATTGGTGAGAAATGACTAGTTGGCAAGGTTTTGACTCCTCGATTTCAAGGATCTTGTAAATCCAGTTAAGCTATCTATTAGCCAACCGTATTTCTCTTTTTAGGGATCTTAATTTAAGTGTGATTGGCATTCAGTTGGGCCCATTGGGCTGACTGATTTGTTAACTAATCTTACTGGATTAAATCTTGTAATATACCGATTTGAATGGGGCTCAGCATGGCAAGGAATCCCATTTGTTGATGGGCTGGTGGGGTAACTCTCCCTTGGGCTGAAGGACTAGTGGGCTCCTACACTAGGTCCCACCATGATGGGCCCAAAAATTATATTCCAACATCATAGAATTGTAAGCATGAGTCGTGGTTATAATAGAGCATTATAAACCTCAAACATACAACAACTTAGTCAACTTACTCAATATATGGGCCACTAGCATTATAATTGCCTAACACATATAAATGTGCTTTCATTAGTGTTTCCTTGTCCAGTTGAACATGAAAGGGACTTCCAATGAAATGGCATATGTCCATCCTCTTTATTTCTTATTGGCCTATTTARTGTAGTTTCAACACCTCAGAGGTATCTAGAACAGAAGGTCAGCACTCATCCACTATGTATCCCTTGGCTATACATTTTTCTGGCCCAAGGTTCAAAATATTGATATGCCGGTAGGGGCATATCGGGCGATATCGATACTTTTTTTTTCAAAACCAGTTCAAGGGGCAGTTTAAGGCTCCTCCACCCATGAACCGATCAAAACTCCGATACACCCACTATAGGGGCTGTAAATCTTGAATGATACGTATCGGTCAAAACCCCGATACACCCACTGTAGGGGCTGTAAGCCATTTTTATATGGCTGTTGGGGGGCCAACAACCTATGCTATTGAGGTGACAGGATCTGCTCCTCACAAATGGGCGCCTCACAGACACATCCATTGTGCATTGGGAACATCTCCCGTGAATAACAACTAATAAGCACGAGAAATATTCCCAATGCATGATAGGATGTGCGAGTGAGGCACTTGTGAGGCGCCTGGTATGAGGAGCAGATCTGGTCTCGCTGTTGAGAACATTTTTAGGCTAAACACGTTCACCAATTCATGCACATGTCTATGTTTATAGTTAAAAAGAAATAGGGGCAATTACTATTTTACCCCACTTTATGGTACCATGGCATTCCCAAAAACATTCTCAACATCATAGGCTGTTGGCCCTTACAGCCTAAGTTTTTCTAAGACTTTTCGCCCTCAGATCTGAAAGTCATAAAGGAGGAGGAGACTTGTCACCCTCAGATTTTAGAGTTGTAGAGGAGGAGAAAATTATCGAGCAAGAGATATCCCTCCAAGATATATACAAATGATGAAAAAAAAAATAGAATCCCTAATTGATGGATATTCGTTGGATGCCCATGACCCAACCCACCCAACCCATTTAAATTCTTTTATTAGGTTGACCCACCCACTAAGGACTTAGTATTAAAAATTATGGCCCAACCTGCTAATAAATGGGTGGGTTGGGTGGACTGGGTTAAAAATTACTACCCCTAGTTCTACAAAAAGTCGTTGATTGAGTCAATAAACTATCGGTCTGGATGGTTGAACTGCCAAACCGGCTGGCAACACAATTAGCTTGTGACAGTTTAGATTTCGAATGATTTTTTTGGAGGTTTAATAGTTTGAAAATGACCACCGTGTCCCAAACTCATAGCTTAAGCCAGAGTGCTCAATCCCACTTTTTTCTAGGAAAATTCCTAATTGGTACCCCTGTACTTTGGGCCTAGTGTCATTTTGGTCCCCAAACTTTAAAATACGACAATTTTGTTCCCAAACTGTCAAAATGTGCCCATTTAGTACCAACCGTTGAGTGACATTTCAAAAGACACAAATGCCCTTCAAGTGTCATCTAATTTTCTTTATCAACCATCCAAATGTTGACGAAAAATGATGTGACCCCAACCTTCTTGAATAGAAGAGAAAAGGATTTAGGATTATAAATGACACTCAAAGGGTATTTGTATCTTTTCAAATGCCACTTAACAAGTGATTAATGGTTTTTGGTACGCACTAAATTGACATGTTTTGAAAGTTTCAGATACTAAATTGTAGGGTGTCAATTAGACTGGATTTGGTCCAATCCGATCTAGTCCAATGTGAGTCCATTATAAATGGATCAGGTCCAATCCAGTCCAATGAATGCGTTTGGACCAATTTGGACTGGTCCAATTCAATATGTAGACCGTTCAATCTGTTCAAATTTATTTTGATTTAGATTGATTTCAACCCAAACCCAATCCATTGACACATATATTCTTATCTTGTATCAATGGATCAAATATTGGCTTAATCCAACCCAATCCAATATAAATTTGTTACGAATGGACCAAGTCCAATCTTATCCAATAAATATTTTGGACCAAATTGGTCCAATCTAATATGTTTTGTTGGTCCATTCAATCCATTCAATTTGATTTTAGATTGGACAGGGTCTAATTCAAAAGCRGTCCATTGACACTTTATTAAATTGTCACATTTTAAAATTTAGGAAACAAAGTGACACTAGGCCCAAAGTGTAGGGTATTAATTGGAAAATTTTCCTTTTCCTTTTCTTTTTTTATTTTTTATTTCGGTTATTAGGATTTATTAGGGTGTCAATTGTTCAAAACTTCAAAGAAAAAATCAAAGAGGAACTAGTTTCAATGAAAGATTTTTCTGAAAAAAGAAATCAAAGATTTAACGCCGGCAACTCCAGTCCAGTGATTAACGCCCACGAGTGTAATCTTTTTGAGTTTTTCATTTTAATTTTTGAATTTTCTTTTTAGTTTCTAACTTTTTAGACGATTGAGACATGCGAAACTCCACTATTCAGGCATTCATTCTAAATTTATAATATATATATTTTGGTAAACTATCTTGTCATATATTTAAAACCCTAGTTTGGGTTAGAGAAATCCTTCGATCTATTAGCATAATCTCTCTCTCTCTCATTTCAGTGTCATCGAAGTTCAAACCTGAGAAACCCAGAAAATTTCTTAATTCCTTCGAGACTGGAAGATGATCCGAAGCTCCAACCTCTCTAGATTAAGATATCTTACTTCATCCGTCGAAACCCTAACTTACCAGTTTCTGCAACGATGTTCTGTCAGTGGAACTGCGAAAGGAAAATCCAAGATCAAAACAGCGCAACCACTGAAGAGGTCCAAGATCCCTAAGAAAAAAGGCACTTCTTCTGGCGGCGGGGGTCGAATGAACGAAGCAACTGAACGTTTGAACAGGATGGTTGATTCCTGTTTGGATGCCCCTACGCCAGTACGATACCTGACACCTAAACAAAGGGAACGAGAAGCCGAGCGGGAGAAGCTTGGACTCATAAGTAAAGATCGACAGCGCGAGATTGACGCTTTGAAGGCAAAGAAATCAGAGAAAAGTGTCGAAGAGAGTCCGACGATTATTGGGACTCCGGGATTGGATTTGATCTCGTTGGGCCTGGTCGATGCCAAGGACATCCCGAAATATGAATTGACTGTCGAGGATGGTCGAAGACTTGCGAAGGAGTACAGTAGGGTTCTGATGAGGCGGCACCGGGCTAGGCAGGCAGCAGAGTCAATGTTGCTGCGATTGAAGAAAGAGGCAATCGAGGCACTTCCGGAGCATCTAAAAGCTGCAGCATTGGTGCCAGATCTGACTCCTTTTCCGGCTAATCGGTTCATGGCGACATTAACACCACCAATTGAAGGCTACATCGAGAAAATCAAGGAAGCAGCAAAGAAGAACGTTGGGAAGGAGAAGCTCAGATGACTCTAGGTTTGGAGTTTTGTTTACTCTCTCTTTTTCTCTTCTTTCTTCCAGGATGTTTCAAGGATTTTGAGTAGCTAATGTAAGAGTGCAATTTTGATTAAAATGTCTCCTTTTGAGTAGCTAAAATAGGTATTCTTAAGCCTTAGGAAGAATTTAATTTATTTATACATTAGGACAGTGGAAGGATCGGGCAAACTATCACCCCATTGTGCCATTTATAATAACTAATTTGTTTTTCAAAAAATTAAGTGATGATAGTGCCGTTCTTTATCTTCCTCCATTTTTATTGTGGTCTTAGGTCAATATGTTATCCATCTTATTTATTGTTTTCTCAAACAAAGATTAGCAGCACTATTAGCTCTCTTAAAGGTGTCAGTGTGAAGGAAGCGAAAAACATGACATGGTTTAAAGTTGTTATTATAGCATCCTGCCTTTTGTTAATTAARCTAGCTAGGTGCCTTACAGTGTCTATTTGGACTTTATATACTCTTCTAGCACAGGTGGTGTTTGTTTTAGGTCGTTTGTATTACTCCTTTCTTGGCAAGCTGCAAACTTCTTTCTAAACCCAGTTTGCTAAAGCATTGTTCAGAATTTGTTAAATTCCTGCAGTAGATCCAACAACCGTAGAAGAGCATTCACAATGATTTATTGTGTCCCTGCATCACAAACCGTGTTCAATTTATTAGTAATTTTATGTCAAGCATTCTTTGGAGGTTCCCATGGAACAGGGATCTCAAGGGCATGAGTCATTTGGCAATTTTTAAATTTATGTTACTACTTGTTCGTACCTTTCATCATGACAAGTAATAAGGGGTATGGATTCATTTTCATTAAGAATATCCAACTTCCTATTTTTACCAAGTTGCCCAAAGATTGTGAAAATTAGTCTCAATCTCAATCACTTTGATTCTATGTTTCGGATATACAGTACCATATCATTAAAGATCAAGCCCACCAAAAGCAAAAGACAATTCCACTTATTGTGGTTTACGTTTAAGATAAAGCATACTAGGCTGGGGAACCCCTGGTTAGGCACTCGGGCATGCACAGACTCATCATTAGTAGGAATTAGATTATGGACATTTTCCCAAAGAGAACATTTTAATTATTTATTTATTTATTGTTTGCATGGGTTGGGCTGAGTTGGGAAGTTCTATATCTTCACCCAGTTCTCTGTTCAATTGTCTTTTATGAGAAAGATAGTTTCTAATAACTGCTAGTTCCATTATCACCTCTTGCCTCCTTTTTGTTATCAACAGATTTCATAGTGATCTAGATGGTACTTTATCAGAATAAGATATGGATGAGTAGGTCCTTGCCATTTTCCTTTTAGCAAGGGCTTTGATAATATTGTTCTTTCCAAGAAGGATGCTTCTCCTCATCCAACATGTATGATGTTAAGCAGAGGTAGACACACATTATTTGGATTCAAAATCTTTGGAAAGAAGAATTCAGATTGCTGTGGAATTTTTCTTGCAAGATTGGTTTGCAAGCAAGGTTTCAACAATCCTTGTTTTTAATTCCAAGGCCTCCTTCTACAGCTAGCAAATTGCCCTTGAAGCTGCATTGAACAGTTTTCCTTCGAAGGGTCATATCTCTCTAGAAATTTCCTTTTTTCTGTTTTCAACATTGAGAAAGTAGATCAATTATCAAAAAAAAAAAAAACATTGAGAAAGTAGATTTTGTGGGAATACACAAACCTAGAAGGGGAGAGTTGAAACAACAGATTTATGGAAAATTTCCATTCAATCAAAGGTGACTATATGTTCCAAGAAGGGGATTAAAAGGTGCTCCTCAAGTTGGTAATTATGTATACTGCTGGATGTAGAGCGAGGTTTCTAGCAATTTTTTTTTGGTGTTTGGGGTTGATTTTGAAAATTTAATTTTTAACCAGTGAATTTTCTAATGTTCATCAAAGATTCCCATGTTCCCTAATAGATCTAAAACTCCTTGAGGATGGCTTTGGAAAAAGGTAATGCCATAATTTGCAAAAAAATATGCATTGAGATTAGGCCATTAGGGGGCTCAGGACTCCATAGAGATTATATTGGTGAAGGGAGAAACTATTTAAGCCAGGAGCAAGAGCTACTGTCTCATCCAGGCATTTATTGGTTGATCTCTATGAGTGAGGTCATTTCACTTTTCAAGGTCAATTTTGAAATCCAGATATTCATATAGTTCTTTCTCCCATTAGGATAACATTGATAAAAAAATGATGAATGTTGTAAACAGTAAATCTGTTAATGACAATTGACAAATGCCCCTGGATTGGTGGACATCGGTTCGTAAGGAAGGGTTTGAGCCTGTTTAGCTTGCTTATGATTCTATAAGATATTAGACAGGCTAAAAGGTGAAAATGACATGCTGATGGAAAAAAGTAATTGATGGTCACAGAGTTTAGCTTTCTTTTTTAAATAATTTAAGGGTGAATGTTCTACTGCATGCCTTTAGCCTTTATTTATTCAGAGCACTGCATCTCTTTAACTAAACTGCATGTGAGAAAATAAAGAGGGTATTCTTTTTTTTTGATCAATAATAAAGAGGGTATTCCTAGCATTTGTATTATGTGCAATGATAATGAGGATGCTTCAAATTTGTTTGTTCTTTACAGCTTGGTGGATTTTAGTTGGATGTTCATTTTTATCTTTATTTAGGGTGCCTACTCCCTAGACCTGATATTTCTCTGCCTAGTGGCATTTTTGCTAGGTGTTCAAGGATTGAAGGTGGAAAAAAGCAAAGGTTTCCTGAGGAATATACCATTTGCAATTTGTATTTGGAAGGAAAGGATCAAATGTACTTTTGAAGGCAAAATACACAGATAACAAACATGTTGGTGATATTGGCTCATTGATGTGGATTGTGTGCTCGCACACACTAAGAATTCAAATAGGCTAAGACTAAGAGGGAGGATTTTGGGGATAATCTGTCGGCAACTTTGGACCTCTGGTCTACATCTTTATCCAGTCGGGCTGAGCTGGGAAGTTCTATTATCTTCACCCAGTTCTTCTCTGTTCAATTGTCTTTTATGAGAAGGGTAATTGCTAATAACCTCTAGTCCCTTTATCACCTCTTGCCTCTTTATTATCGACAGATTTCATAGTGATCTAGATGATACTTTGTCAGTTATTGATAAGTATGGCGATTTTCATTTTAGAAAGGGCTTTGATAATATTGTTCTTTCCAAGAAGGATGCTTCTCCTCATCCAACATGTATGATGTTAAGCAGAGGTAGACACACATTATTTGGATTCAAAATCTTTGAAAAGAATTCAGATTGCTGTGGAATTTTTCTTGCAAGATTGGTTTGCAAGCAAGGTTTCAACAATCCTTGTTTTTAATTCCAAGGCCTCCTTCTACAGCTAGCAAATTGCCCTTGAAGCTGCATTGAACAGTTTTCCTTTGTTTTTTTTTTTTTTTGATTGAAGATATGCCTGGATAACATAGAAATACAAGGAACAAGAGTCCGGCATCTCACCGGCCAAAGGAGAATTGAAAATGGTTTCAAATAGTTCTTGAACCTGGAATATATATATATATATATATATATATATATATATATATATATATAGATATAGATAATGATAATGAAAAATTTATTAATTATAGAACTAAGTATACATCATACAATTCCCCACTAAGAGGTGCAAGGTGCAGCCTCCAAACAACATCAAAAAGCTTATAAATGAGCCCAAAAGAGCTGAAATACAAGGAACAAGAGGATGTTATCTCACCAGCCAAAGGAGAATTGAAAATGGTTTCAAATAGTTCTTGAACCTGGAATGTGTTTATTTTTTTGATAGATAATGATAATGAAAAATGTATTAATTAAAGAATTAAGTATACATCATACAATTCCCCACTAAGAGGTGCGAGGTGCAGCCTCCAAACTACATCAAAAATCTTACAAATGAGCTCAAAAGAGCTGATTCCTATGTACTTGTTTAGCTAGGAGGTCTGCCAATCCATTTGCCGATCTTCTTTCCCATTGAAGTGTGACTGAAGTATTTGAATTCAGCCACTTAAATCTTTTCAAAGTCTTGTACCGCCAGACTGCCAAATCTCTTGCATGGTTCTTTTAGCCATCCAACAACCAATTTGGAATCACCTTCAATCATTAAATGCTCCACTGCCAAATCTCTTGCATGTTCTGCTTCTTGTAACACAGCTTGGAGTTCTGCATTAATTAAGTCTCCCCACCCCTATAGGACCAAAAAATAGAGCTACAATCTGATCCTCATCATTTCTAAAGACCCCCTATTCTAGATGGCCCTGGGTTGCCCAAACTATTGCCATCAAAATTTAGTTTAAACACCTGCATCAGGAGACTTCCAATCCACCACCGGCTTGCTTCTGACTATGGAACTTTTAGCTAGTTGTATATGGTTATTGATTGCCCAAGTGTTCTTGTTGGAGATATCAATGATGAGTCACAACTTTACTTCAATTTTTCCAAGAATTCCACTTTCTTGTCATGATTTAACACATTAGGTAACCTCGACATCAAATGTGAAGTTAGACAAGTGACCAAATCTGCATACAAAAGAAAGGGTATTTTCATGTATTTTCAAGACAATAACCATTAACCAATGATACAAGAGATAAAGGCCTTAAAAAAGTTATATGCTGTGTTAGGGTTCTAAATGGTTAAAATGCTTGGCTTGACCTATTCCATCAGTTTTAGGATTTTGGCATATTAGTCAAACACACAACATTTGGTATTAGAACCTACCATCACGTCTCAAGTTCAAATCATGGAGAGGGTTATTTGGGAGAAGGGCTACCTAGAGTAGAGTGAGCTGATATGGAAAGGGCTACCTGGACTAAAGTGAAAGCTATCACAGAAAGGGCAATTTGGAGCAAAGTGAAAGCCACCGAAGGGAAAGGGCTACCTGTTGTTAGAGTGTGAGCTGTCGTGGAAAGGGTTATCTACTGCCAGAGTGAGTTGTCATGAAGAGGGCTACCTACTGCTAGAGTGAGAGCTCCCTAGAGTGAAGTTGACGAGAGGAAAGAACAGCAAAAAAATATTGTAGGATGGATTGAGGCCTACCTAAGTTGGGATTTTGGCCTAAACTTGATTAACACCATAGGGGTTCCAATTGGTTCTATATTGATTTGTTGTCTTCGAATAGCAACAATCACCGTGAAACGACTAAAGAAATAGAACGGAATTGATCGATGAATGGGAGTGTTGCTTGACATCAATGAACTAGAATTAGAGTTGTCATTGCTACTATTCCCTAGGGCCATCGATGTGTTTAGAGATCCTAAAGCAACAGAGGAAGCCGGTGAAGAGCTCTACAGTATGATATGCCCAGGAAAATGGTAACGACCCACTGGAAATTTGAGTGACAACCAAGCCAATATCACTGCTGTGAGCTGCTTTTCATGACCAGAGAACAGAGGTGGGGAAGACATAGGAAGTTGGGATAGGGAGGAGAAAGAAAAAAGGGTAAAGGGCAAGAAGGAATAAGGAAAGTGAATGAAAGAACTAGGGAGAAGGGATTGGGGAGAGAGATTGCAGCCATCATTGTTTGGGTGTCGCGAGGTTGGGGAAGATGAATAATGTTCTTTTGAATTCACCTAAATTAGAAAGTTAGGTCACCTTTTATATTAGGGTGCAATGACATTTTGGTAATTTTGGGGACTCTGAGGGACAGTTTGGTAATTTAAAAAAAATTGACGTAGTCTTGTCCAATCGGGTCTAGGGGCCAAATTGGGATTCTAGTTTAAAGGTGAAGATTTCAGGTAAAAATGGAGGGTTGAGATGAGTTTGGGTGCTCATAATGATTTGGTATTTACGGGTAAGATTAACCAAAATAGAAACTTTTCAAATGGAGTGTAAAGTGAGGGTTTTTTACATAAAATTTTATGAGGTGGGGTTTTTAGGCATTCTAGATTGACTGATGGGGTTAGATCGACCCAAATGGGTTTGGCTCAGGCAGATCTAGAAGGGGCTTGGTTTAGTCAATCTAAAGCTTCAAAATAGGATCTTGGTGTCATAGAGGGGCAAACAAGGGTATTTTTGGTTGAAGTTTCTTAAGGTAGGGTTTTTGAGCATTCTGGGTTGATTGGTAGGATCAAATTGGGCCAACTAGACTTGGATTGGGTAAATTTGGAAGGGGGTTTATTCAAGTCAATCAGGAACTTTGAAATGGAATCTTGGTGTGACCGAGGGGTAAATGAAGGTAGTTTTGGGTGAAATTTTATAGGTAGGGATTTTAGGATGTCTAAAATCTAATGGTGATATCTGATTATTCTTGAGGGTCATGATTGTAGAAATTTTGGTCAACAAGGAGGTCCGAAATGGAATCTTGGATTAAAACTTTATGGGTATGTGTTTTGGTGTGTCTAAAGTTTAGTGGTGTGGTCTGATTGGCTCATATGTGTCTGGATTGAGGGCATTTGGGTTGCGAGTGCTTAGGCTAACGAGAGGGCTTAAAATAAAATCTTGGTTTGATAAAAGGGTAAACAGAGGAATTTAGGGTTAAAATTTCACAAGTAGGTATTTTGGGAGGTCTTGAGTATGAAGGTAGTATTTGATCTACTAGTCGAGGTGTAAATGATGGGTAATTTGGGCCATCAAATTGGGATCAGGTAGGTTTAACGGTAGATCTAGGGTTTCTAGGTTGAAATTTAGGTTCTTTGGGTTTTTAGGTGTTTCGAAGGGATCAGAAAGGTCTGATCAGGTATTTGGGGTGAATTGGGAGTTCAGGAGGCAGACCGAGCAAAAAATGGGTGTTGACACCGGGTAACTGACAACCTTGGAAGCTTTGACTTACATGACACATCTTCCCTTATCTACTTGCATCACCTAGCGCCTTCGAAATGCATGGCAACACATCGCCTACTTGGTAGTGATAAGCTCAATTCCTTTCACTTCGTGAGGAATCAAATAAGGATCAATTTGACGTTGTGCAGGCGTACTCCTTAAGCAATGGACAGATAAAGCCCATCACCTTTGAATGTGTCGAATATGCTTTGACCAAGCTTCACAATCTATATAAGGGTAACCTCTCACTCTCTAACTGTATGCTTACACTATTATTCACTAACTCTCTGCTCTAATTTCTTGCCTATTGACTCTTGTCATTTTCAACAGTTCGGTACTAACTTGATCGCCAAAGTCCTCTTGCTTGGGTCATCTTCTTGGGCTCTTTGACGCGTTCTCCTTTTGTAGAACCGGCCTATCAACCTCACCAGTATTTGTCCAAACTGCCATAGCTAGTAAGGACTCGACACAGTTTGAGCATCAACAATAAAGTGAATTTAAAATGTTAAATAACAATAGTTTAATCTCTAATAATTCCTGAAGTTTTCTGTTAAATAACAAAACAAAAATAGACTTGTACATTGAAAATATATTTATCACAAAAATATAATAAATATTAATTTTAGTATATATAGATATACAATAAATATAGATAAAGATTTTAAAATTATTATTAATTAATATTAAAATTTTCTCTCCTAAATTAGAGATACTTTTTTAGATAATTAGCAGTTAGACATAATAGAGATAATTTAAGAAAAAATGGGGGATAGTGGTGCCACGTGGCTAGTGAGGGATAGGAACAAATTGGAGTAAGGATTAGCTTTACAAAGGACTCTTGTATCTTTTCTAAAAAATAGGTGCTAACTATATGGGTTTTATTAGTTTCGTAATAATAAAAGGATAGGATCAAGGGAGATTGCCAAAGTCTCCAAGGCTTGGTAAGGGAATAAGTTACCCCCCCTAGAATTGTTGGGTTGGGCAATGGAGCAAGGAGAGGCCACCTGATGTGGCCAGCCTTGTTTTAATATATAGTATAGATTATGGCCACATGACAATCAAAATTACTCATATGTTAAGGCAGGCTAATGGTGTGGCCCATGAGCTGAAAATGTGGGCTAAATTCATGAACTGAAGTTTGGGGACTGGGAACCCAGGGCGTAGAATTTTCCATTTTTCAATCAACAAATATTGGATGATAGTAGTACTGTACTATTAGTTTTAGTATTACTATTACTTTTACTATTACTAATACTAATAGAAACATTACTTTGGATGGTGCACAGGCTATGTTAAGCGAAAGTTAAATAATAGAAACATAGAAGAGTAGACAATTGTTTTATATTTTTATTTTTAAATAATTAATAATTGTTTATATTTTATATGCTAATGTTAATAATATTTTGCAATATAAAACTAACAATAATTAATTTCAGTTAGGGTTGTCCATCAAACCGATGAAACCGACCAAACCAATCAACCTAATCTAACTTGACCCGAGTTTGTTAGTTTTTTAGTATATCCAATCGCCTTCAGTTCAGCAATTTCCCAACTTGACCAAGTTGGGCTTTGTTAAGCGAAAAATAATA